ATCTTTCGCGCGCAGAATTGTGGCAGAAATGTAAGCCCATAGAAATGCTGCCTTTAGAGCTTCCGGACGCAGCGTGTGTTAATGAGTGAATCACTGAATCATTTATTCAACCGATTCGTGCCTCGATTTTTTAGTTTTAATAGACTAATAAATCAACGTGCGTGCATTTTGTGTGTGATTTGGTGATATAGCCTACTTGATAATGTCAGATTGCACATCATTACAAAAACACTTACCATATTATCGCAGACGATGCTGTATCGCACACCCCAGACTCGACTTAAGTGGGAAAATGAATCACTTAAGCACTTGTTCTCACATGAACAACTTTGTTTTTTAGGAGTCTAACTTGCAAACGCCAGACCACTGATTCGTCAAACCTGCTTTCCTGCAGTCTGTGCTCTTCTGACTTAATTTTGTAATAAGTAACGAATATGCTTCGGGGAAATGTATCGGAGTAAAAATATACATTTTAATTAGGAAATGTAGTGGAGTAAAAGTAAAAGTTGGCTGAAATATAAAAACTCAAGTTAAGTACAGATACTCCCAAAAACACTTAAGTACTGTAACGAAGTATCATTACTTTGTTACATTACACCACTGGTACACCACAAGTAAATAAATGTGGAAGTAAATTAATGTTGACAAAAATACATGAATAATAAGTGAATATGAAATTAATGTAGAAATAAATAAATGTTGAAATAAATAATTATGGGAATAAATGTTGACACTTGAGTAAACACAAATGTGGAGATAAATAAAAGTGGAAATGTATAAATAAATGAATGCATGTGGGGAAAAAATATTACATAAATAAGAAAATACAAGTATAAATAGTCATTTATGTTTTTTTTTTAAACATTTATTTATTTAGTTAGTCATCTTTGGAATTCCATAAAGATCCCTGTTTTGCCTTTTAGACAGGATCTCACATATTAGATGCACTAATGTAAATGTGCATATATATATATATATACAGTGGGTACGGAAAGTATTCAGACCCCCTTCAATTTTTCACTCTTTGTTATATTGCAGCCATTTGCTAAAATATTTAAATATGTGTTTCACCAAGAATTAAACTCTGAATACTTTTGACATGTTTTATTATTTGTGTTTTCTTTATGTAAATATGCACTTTTTCGTGATTGTAGAGCAGCGTGTGAACGGGACTTTTATTTTGGTCTGGTGGCGTGACGTCATAAGGCTGCGCCGCTCTCCTGCGTCTGTGTTTCAGCTGAAAAAAGGTTTGTGTTTTTAATAATTTAAAGTGTAAACCATTCAGTAAAGTTTATAGTTTTTACAAGCTATGTAAAGTTAATTATTTAATAGTATGTTATCTAACATTAATTGATGTTATTTTGTGTAAATAAACCGCATTCACACATTAGTAACAGAAACGGTGCGTCTCATTTCGCTCCCTATGCAGTGAATCAGTTCATCCTAAACACGAACTCGGTCACTGGCAAGTAGTGATGAGAGAAACGGAGCTTTTCGAAACTCCGAGTCAATTGAATCAAATGCTTCAGAAAAAGATTCACTGTTTTGAATCGCTCGAATCCCCGCGCGCTGACTGACATCTGCTCAAAACAACAAACACAAACATGTTGAATGACAACTTTTACAAACCAACTGCGAAGGTTTTCATTAAAAGTGTAATCTTTTAAATGTAATACTGATCAAGAAATGACATATATTAATCAAAAGTAAATAGTAAAGTGACTGTAATTTGTGTTCTTTTATTCATTTGTTCATCATTATTATTTATTGGTAAAGTTTTATATGCTTTTGTCTCATCAGGTGATTTAAGTCCATTAACTCTCACTCTGACTTCCTTACCAGTGCACTGACTACTGAACTAGGGAGCTGATTGAGAAGCGTTTGGATTTATTTTTCTTTGTTAATTATTCTGATCCTAAACACACAGAAAAACTCCTGCTGAAGCGACTGAGCTCCTCGTGACACACTGTTATAAAGATGGTGTTCATTAAAGAGGAGAGTGAAGATGTGAAGATTGAAGAAGCATTCAGAGTCAAACATGAAGATACTGAGGAACAAACAGGTTGGTTTTCATTCTCAAACCTGAATTATTTTGTCCTCTACATTCTATTAATTAATTTGCCTTTGCCAGGTGTTTCTGTACATTGTCTGCCCTCCTGCAGTTTTCTCACCTTTCCTTTTTGAAAGGTTTTAACTTAATATATTGCTTCATTTAATTTTTTCTTGAAGTTCTCTTAAAAGTAAATGTTCTACTCTTATTTTAGTGCTCAGAATTAAACGAGACAACTCTTTAAATGCCCTCTGCTAGGATTGAGTAACATCTTCGCATATGAAATAAATAACTACATGTGGAAGTCTTTTGAAAACGTTTCTTCGCTTTTACAGCTGCCAAGATTAACTAATCATGAAAAGTTATCTGGTCCGTCTTGCCTTGATGTGATGCTGACGTATGCAAAATAAACAATGGCGACAGCAGTCGCTCGCTTTCACCCGACTAGAGCTGCCCTTCTAATAGTCGACTGAACGTTAGTAGACGAGAAGAGGCTTATGCTGCGTTCAAGTCCTCCTGGGACGTTCGTACTTACGAGTTGACAAGTCGTAATTACGACGTCAGGTGCGTTCAAGTCAGTTTAGTCGGCACAAGATGGCGGTGTACCTTTTAATAAATTACAAGAAAATACAACAGGGTCTGTTAACTCTGCTTATAGAAAATGAAGAGCAAAGAATTCGCATCAGGTGTGTTTTGCGTTTTTAATAATTTTTTTTTAGACCAGGATCCCAGTATAACTGATTTTCAGCATCAACAAATGCTAAAATACAGAGCTGTTAGCTAAATGCAACATGGCAAATCAAAAGATTTTTCACAAAATTTCAAAAATTATAGCATTTTTTTTTTACTTGGATTTAATTAACTAGCTGCGTAACAAGAACATGACCAATTTAAGTTTATAGGACAACTAAACTATCAATTTAAACAAAAATTTACTGTCAACTACAGACGTTGCATCCATCGATTCCGCCATGTTTCTCATTGACACGCCCCCAACTCGGAAACTCGCGGCTTAAAGAAAATTTCCCACTCCTAATAACGACTTTGTGGTGGCGTTCATGTGCGTTCAACTCGTCAATACGATCTATCCGACATGACTTGAATGCACCATTAGTCGACAAAAATGTTATTAATCGGTTAGTCGCAGAAAAAAACGATCTGTGTGTGTGACGGACAGATTCTTAACGGTTGGTCATTAAGGTAATTACGGTATACGGTGACGTGTGTTCCTGGAAGAAAATTCAGGACTGCAATTGAGGCATTTGAAGGCATTTTTTAAATGGAGGAGCTTTTAAATGCCAGCTTGATAGTTTTTGATACATGTCCTAAAGAAATGGTTCTCAGATTACATGCAACACCTCTTTCAGTTGCTTAGTGGGTATAGGATCTAGTTGTATGTTGGTTTTGTTGCACAGTGCACACATGGTTTCCGGTTGAGTGAACGCTGGCGTGTCTGTCTGTCGCTGCTCTCCGGTGTTTTTGCCTGGGTTCATTTCCCTTTCTGGATTAAATTTGTTGGACTCTGTGAACTTTTGCACCCTGCTTATTTTTCACCCTGTGAATTTTTCCACCCTATATTTAGTGATTTCATAGTATCTAATCGTGTCTGCCGCTGCTCCCCGCTGTTTTTGCCTTGGTTTCGCTGTGGACATTGTGCTTTTTTTACACCCTGTACCTGTGGATTACATTTTATTTGCTCCATCAACTAAGCCAGACTTTTGGCGTTCCTTCGCAATCTTTTTCCCTGGTCCTCACTGACCTGTCGCGAGCCTTGATCCCTCCATTTCCTCCAGTTTGTTGCGCATCGACCCGTGGGTAAGTCTCCACTTTCTCTCTGGTCTGTTACTGTTACTCTACTTTGGGTTTTTAAAGGTCTGGGGCATTCTTATCCAGTCTGCCCTTCTCCTACCCAATAGGATGGTTCTTGGTGGTTTTTGTGGTGTTCAGGCTAATGCGTTTTCTAATATGGTCATGTAGTAGGGGTATAAAGATGCGTTGTTTATGGCTTAGCGTTTTCTCCGTGCTGGTCGGTCTTTTACGTTTTTTTTTTAATGTGCATGGCATGTCGGCTTATTTTACGGTTTCTCACAAGTTTTTATCCACAATGGTTTCTTGCTACTCACCTGCTGAGCTTGTTCAGTTGAACACATCATCGCCTTTACCAGAAGGAATTTTATAATATCTGACGTGTGTTGGGGATTGCCCGTCGCTGCCGCTATGTTAATCGCGGCTCACGTCGCAAATTTTGTGCTGTCAATCTTACTCGTGCCTCTGCTGATGACCAAATACTGTTTTTTTGGTCTCCTGTCCACTATTCTTGTGCCAGGCTAGGCGCTGGAGTTAACCCTCGCAATCTTTCATCTCTGGAGTACTGACCAACATACCCACCAACTCTTATCCTGTCAGATCTTTCACAGATTATGGATCATTAAATTTAGGCTAATAAATGCTAGATCTGTGTCCAACAAAACATTAATCTTAAATTACTTTTTACTATTCACGATTTTGATTTTTTTTATTCATGACAGAGACATGGCTTAGTCCTGATGATTTGACCGCTCTAATGGAACTTTCTCCTCCTGACTTTTATTTTTCTTTTAATTCTCCTAGAACTTTAGGCCGTGGAGGTGGAATAGCAACAATTTTCAGAAAATGTTTTAAGTGCAAACCCTTGCCTGTTGTAATCTTTCATAGCTTTGAGGTGCAGGTTTGATCTTTGATCAAGGTTGATCTTCCCACTTCCTTGCTCTGTGCCCTGGTTTATAGACTTCAATAAGGACTTCATCCAAGAATTCACTGAATTCTTGGCTTCTGTAGTGTTTCGCTCTGAGACACTCTAGTGTTCTCTAGTGTACTCTGCCTAGATCCTATCACTCCCCTCATTATTCTAGACGTTTTAATTCCTCTTGCCAAGTCTTTCAATTATGTGTATTTATCTACCCAAATCCCAAATGCTGTGAATGCTCTATCCTCTTGTGTCCATCTGGATGAATTAGTTGATCTTTTAATAGTGCCTGCACCTCCACCTTGGACTCAGTTGCTCCTCATAGGCTACAGAGATCCAAGGTGATGAGTAAAGTACAGCCATGGCTACATGGGCCCACTCGTGCCCTCAAGAGTGTAGGCGCACTGAGCGCAGTTGGAAGAAAGATCAACTTCAGAGATCATACAAAATTTTCAGAGAATGTCTTAAATGGTATCAGAGTGCTGCTAAGGAAGCACAGAGGAAATACATGTCAGATTTAACTAATTGCACATAGACCGAAGGTACTTTTTAATGTATTTTTAAATCCTACTCCTAGTGCCTCAGAGTTCTCCACTGATTTGTGTGAACAGTTTTTAAAACATTTTATCCATAATGTCAAGTCTATCAGGTCTAACATATCATCTCAAAAAAAAAATTTCAAATAGAAACGGCCTCTCATCAGAGCTCCCTTCCTCTTTTCTGATCTGTGTCACCTTCGCAGCTCTATGATATTGTTCATAATATGAAGCCCTTATTCTGTCACTCTGATATTCTGTCTTCTCATATTTGTAAAGAGGCTTTTCCAGCATTAAGTCAAGTTGTAACAGCTATTATAAATAGCTCCTTAATGAACGGTTGTCAGAAACGAGACTGGTATCCAACAGCAGGTGAAACGAAAAATTCAAAGTTTATTGAAAACTGAGATAACAGAAAATGCTCCGTAAATAAATCAGCCGGATAGCAAATCCGCCAGCAAATAGTCAGTTTTGATCAGCACGGAGGTCAGACCAGCCTTTGCCGAGCCCGCGGAGAAGAGAGGCGGCGAACCGGCAATTGAAAGCCGCCACTGAATTCCAGAGGTAGTGCCGAGCGTGGGCAGAGAGGAATCGGAAGGGGCTGCCGTGAAGAGACAGGCCTATGATAAGAGAGAGCCTAGGCAGAGAGCCGACCAGAGTCCTAGAGGGGCAGGCGGGTAAAAAGGGGAGGGTGACAAAAACAGGAACGCCAGACCGACTAGACTAGAAATGGCGAGCCGTCAAAACAAAAGGCCATGTGCTTCATGACAACAAAGCCTAAGCAGACTCCACCGAGATCGTGACAATGGTATTGTACCAGTTACATTTAAACATGCCATAGTCCAACCATTGTTAAAGCATCATCTTGACCAGTATGATTTGAATAACTATAGACCCATATCTAAATTATCTTTCATTTCAAAAGTTTTGGAAAAGTATTCTCAGATCTCATCTTAACTGAGTACTTTTAATATTTTTTGACACATTTCAGTCTGGTTTTAGAGAACTTCATAGTACTTAATCTGCCTGGTTGAAGATTACTAATGATGTTTTACTTGCTCTTGACTCTGGTTCTTGCTGTATCTTAATCATGCTTGATTGAAGTGCACGATTTGATACAATGGATCATGACATCCTTCTACAAAGACTTGATCAAGTAGCTGGGCTTCTGGGATCTGTGCTAAAGTGGTTTGCATCCTACATTTAAGGACAGAACTTTTTCCATGAATGTGGGGAATTGTTTCTCATCTCGCGCTCAAATCTCCTATGGTGTTCCGCAGGGTTCTATTCGGGGTCCTCTTCTTTTTTCCTTATATATGCTTCCACATAATTTATCATGTCATCTCTATGCTGACGACACTCAGCTCTATTTTCCTGTTAAAAACAATAATTGTTCTATATCTAATCTGTTTGCATGTCTTCAGGACATTAAATGCTGGATGAACTTAATTTTTTACAGTTAAATAATGATAAAACTGAAATAATGGTTTTTGGTACAACAGTTGCGTCTTCTGGCATTAAGTAGCTTGGTCCCCTCTCATCAAATGTACGTGACTGTGTTAGAAACCTTGGTGTTGCTTTTAAACCCATGTTATCTTTTGATAAGTAGATCAGTGTTGTTGTGAAAAGTAGTTTCTTTCAATTGAGATCAATTGCTAGAATCAAGAAGATTCTTTCCATGAAGGATCTTCAAACTGCGTTTATAACCTCAAGATTTGATTACTGCAACTCACTCTATCTGGGTTTGCCTAAATCATCTTTCAATCGATTGCAATTGGTGCAAAATGCAGCAGCCAGATTATTGTCTGGCACTAGAAAATGTGAGCACATTACGGCAGTACTGGCGTCTCTACACTGGCTACCGGTCAAATTCTGTATTGATTTTAAGATTTTGCTTTTTGTTTGTGAAGCTTTACAGTCAATTTCTCCTCTCAGTCCCTCGTTCACATTTTAAATCCAAAGGCGACCGGGACTTTGCTGTGGCAGCTCCTAGGCTCTTGAACAGTATTCCCCTTCACATAAGATCTTCCACTTCTATTTCTTGGTTTAAATCTTCTTTGAAGACTCATTTTTATTCTGGATGTTTTAATTCTGTTTGAGGGTGTATAATCTTTCATTTGTCCTTTGTTTTCTTGATTATGTATGTTTTACATCTGTTGTACAGAACTTTGGTTTCAACTCCTGTTGTTTTTAAAAGTGCTTTATAAATAAATAAACTACATTTTACATGTTTGAATGTTTTGATGTCTGTTGCTTTGTGCCATTTAAACTGGAGTTCACTTTTATTTGTCTTTTTTCGCCTTAGACCTGATGGCACTGAAAGAGGAGTGTGAAGTGCTGAATGAAATGGAAGAGAAATATCAATATGACAATCAACATGATTTCATGAATGGAGAAAAACAATGCTCACAGACTAAAAAGACTTCCGCAAGAAAAAGGGCTCAGAAGACAAGAAGTAGTAGTTATTTCACCTGCCAACAGTGTGGAAAGTGTTTCAGTAAAACAATAGGTCTTAAAAGACACATGAGAATTCATACTGGTGAGAAGCCTTACACATGTCCTCAGTGTGGAAAGAGTTTCACTCAACTTGGAAACCTTGGAATCCACATGAGTGTTCACACTGGAGAGAAGCCGTACAAATGCCAACAGTGTGGAAGAAGTTTCAACCGGAAAGGAAACCTTAATTGCCACATGACAATTCACACTGGAGAGAGTCTTTTCACCTGCCAACAGTGTGGAACAAGTTTCACTCAAAAAGCAAGCTTTAACAGACACCTGAGAATTCACAATGTAGTGCAGCCTTACACATGCTCTCAGTGTGGAAAGAGTTTTGATCAACATGAAAACCTTAAAGTCCATATGAGGACTCATAGAGAGAAACCCTACACATGTTCTGAGTGTAGAAAGAGTTTCCGTCAAAAACGGCACTTTGAAGACCACATGAGAATTCACTCTGGAGAGCAACCCTACACATGTCCTCAGTGTGGAAAGACTTTCAGTTATAAACATCACTTTGAAGACCACATAAGAACACACACTGGAGAGAAGCCTTTCACCTGCCAACAATGTGGAAAAAGTTTCAACCGAAAAGGAACCCTTAACAGGCACATGAGAACTCACACAGGAGAGAAGCCGTTTACATGTGGTCACTGTGGAAAGAGTTTCAGATATAAGGCAGCCCTTAAGTACCACATGAGTTTTCACATATGAAAGAACTGTATTTTATGTCATCAGTGTGGAATTGTGGAAAGTTTCACAGATGGGAAACATCTTAAGGCCGGGACACACCAAGCCGACTTCAAAGAACTAGCGGCGACGAAAGCCGACGGTGTTGTCGCCTCGTGTCGGACCAAAAAGCTGCGTTCGAACACACTGCACAGACTACAGCCGACGGCAAACTAACACGTGCGTTCTGCGCATGCGTGAGAGGAACAAGCTGTCCATATCAGCAGCTATCAATAGTATATATTCGTCATTCAGAAGGAGAAACCGAAACAAAGATATACGAGATAAACGCAGATATCCGAAATGTAAACTAAGCGGTGCTTGTTTACCATTTTGAATATCAGTAACGTTGATAACTTTAATTATTTTAAGCGGCTCATGTTGTTATGAAAACATTTGTGTATTAGAATGATTGGGAAAGATCACGTAACATTTAAAACAGCCTTGTGTCCGTACCGCCATTAATTTACATGCTTGTTTTCATCACTTTCGCTTTAATTCTCGGCACTGACTCGTTCGCTAAACTGAACATCCAATCAGAGTTCTCACCCTCGCCGACGGCCCCGAAGGGCAAACTGCCGCCGACGTGAACCCGTCGAGAGCCAATGAGTGGAACACACCAAACAAACTAGCCCGACCGTCGCTTGCCGTCTGCCCGACGTTGGCCGACGGCCAACCGTCAGCTTGGTGTGTCAGCTCTCTGCTATTACATGATTGGCCTTTAGGAATCATGTAATAGCAGAGAAAAGCCTTTCCTGCGCTATCACTGTGGAAAGACTTGCAGAAACAAGGCAAACTTGAGGTTCACAGAAGCACCCCCGATAAAGTTCAAAATACCCAAGCAGCGGATTTAGGCATTATTTACACCTGGGTTTAAAATGTGTTTTGGTTTATATGATCACCGTCTCTTTCTTCCACTTTTGACCACTTGTGTCCTTAATTTTTTTGAGGGGAGGCTCAATGGGTGGGTAAATGCATGTTTTTTTTAAGCTCTTTTAATCAAATACGTAAATTGCGTTCACACTATTTACATATAAATGTAAAATGAGATCATGGAAAAACGATAAGGAGAGCAGCAGCTTTCGTTTCTGCTCTGATAGCTGCAAAAACACACCAAATCCTGACCTGTGGATACATGTTAGAAGTCTGGATTGGTGGAGAACATTGGGGTAACGCGAGTTATGTAATCAGATTACTTTTCAAGTAACTAGTAAAATAACATTACTTTTAATTTACAAGAAAAATGTTCAAATAAGTAACTCCATTTACTTTTCATTTCCATTTCCCATTTATTGACTGACAGCTCTCCTGTCCCCATGTTGAGAGAAGTCGAGAGTAAGTGCAGAGGCGTTGTGTGCACTTTGTAAACATGATGGTTACTGTAGTAAAATGAATAGAAACAGTGAAGTGCAATTCAGAATATGACACAAACCTGCAATTATTAATTATGCTTTATGTATTTAATCCCATTTTATAAACCACTGTCTTTGCTGCTGACCTTCAATGATCCAATTCAACCATACTAATAAACAAAAATGAATTTAGATAAACAACACTTAAGTTTTTTTTTTATTGCTGAAGAATGTTGAACTTTCTTCTCCTGCATCCTATTCTTCATGCACTCCAGAATGGCAGCACAGCTAAAAGGTTTGTTTGAGCTGTGCCCTCTACTGTACAGACGTTAATTTACATTTCCTTCAGCCTGAGGGTTGTTCATTTCACTTTTGGTGTGAAAGTGCTTTTACATTTGCCAAAAATAAAACATTTTTATATTAAAAACGAACAAGCAAGCCCAGACCAGTTTTAAAAAGAAACGCAAAAGTAACGTAATGCATAATGCACATTAATTCAGTGGGTGGACAGTAGGTGTCTTTTGTGACTGTTGAAATGCATTTGACCACATGAGCATTTACACTACAAAAGCAAACCAGTCAAATGCATTTTTTTACTATCTCTGGAAGTGTTTGAAAGTGGACAAGCTCAAAACGTTTAGAACTGCATTTATTGTTGTCTACTTGCGATCAGATCGATGAAAACACATCTTAATGCCAGGTGTAAACAGGGCCTTAATGAATATCTCAAGTGGTGTTTAGATTAATATGTAAATATGTGCTGCACATATAACAGTGTTAACTCTTGTTACCTGATTTTTTTTCATGATGTAATTTTACTACACACCTCTAGGGGGTCTTATTCCCCAGTATAAAGTCAAGTAGATTCATAGAAAAAATGAGTTGACATGTGACTTCCGGTTCTGGCAGATGGAGGCGAGAGCGCGTTGACACGTGGTAGTCAAATTAACTCCTCATCTGAACGTGCTCTCTTTGAAATAGGAATCGTTGCCACATTTCTTGTTAACATCTTTCATTTATCGCCATTTCGTTTGTATTTGGCCAGTTTGGAGAAAGCCTCACCAAAACTGACCAGCCCGGCGTTTGCGATCACGGGAACTTGAAGACACTTGTACAAACGTGGATGGGTGACATGAATGGAGATGGCTCCAGATCGGCGATGTAGTATTTGGTTTTCCATCAAGGTCCAACGCCGAACACAAAATTAATTCGCTGAATGCATAAACTGTATTTTCTTGCGCTGCGCTCAAACCTTCCAATCTAAAGGAAACGCTGTGTATGGCGTTTGAGGTCATTTGTGAATTACCATAGGCTTATAGTCTGAATAAAACAATTTGCAACTATTACGGTTATTACACTTGTATACAAAACTTTGTATTATGCTTGTTATAGAGTGCGTGACATCACGTGCACTACCGCCGGTGGCAGTAGACAACTGCGGTGGCAACCGACCACCACGGTGAAAATGAAGATAGTATGCAAGCGATTCTAACAAATAGGTGATAAAACATGGGTGTGTGGTGTAATAACGGGTCCCATTAAGTGTGAACATGGTAGAGCTTAAGGGGAATATAGTGGGAGGAAAGGTAATGGAAGCAAAATGCTAACAAATGAATAGAGAGTGTTTTGTGTTCTCACCTGAGCTATTTCTTCCTGTTAGTTTGTCTGTCATGTTTGTCTTGAGCCCATGCTGTCTCTGTTGCTGTAGGTACATTTGATTTCATAATGGAATCTTAAATGGTAAGCAACATGTTCATCAACATGCATAATCTTTCATCAGTAAGGTCCAGCAAAGTACCACCATGTCAGAACGACTCATTCTCAGTGTAAGGAGCTTTTTTTTTTTTGCTGCACCAGACCTAGATGGCTGAAGGACTGAA